GTTGACTACTTTCAGACCTTCTCTCCCACCTCGAAGACGACCACTCTTCGGGTGCTGCTGCACATAGCCGCTCAGCGCGACTACGAGCTTCACTCTCTTGACTTCAGCACAACTTTCCTGCAGGGCAACCTGCACGAGGAGATCTGGCTGCGCCGCTCACCTGGCTTCACTTGGTCGTTTCCTCCTGGTACCCAGTGGAGCCTCTGGCGGCCAGTCTACGGTCTCCGCCAGGCGCCCCGTGAGTGGCACGACACACTGAGGACTACACTTGCGGCTCCTGGCTTTGCTCCTTATACTGCCGACCCATCGCTGTTTCTGCGCACCGACACCTCTTTACCACCGTTCTACATCCTCCTGTACGTCGACGACTTGGTCTTTGCCATTGCTGACACTGCTGGACTCGCCCACGTGAAGTCCGAGCTGCAGAAGAGACACACGTGCACAGACCTGGGTGAACTGCGCAGCTACCTTGGCTTGCAGATCACACGGGATAGAGCACAATGCACCATTACCCTGACTCAATCACACATGGTGCACCACGTCCTTCAGCGCTTCGACTTCACGTACTCCTCGCCTCAGGCCACTCCTCTGTCTACTCGCCACTCGCTCTCAGCTCTGCCTTCGGATGAGTCCGTAGAGCCGAGTGGCCCGTACCCAGAGCTTGTTGGCTGCCTCATGTACCTGATGACCTGCACACGACCTGACCTTGCATACCCTCTTAGCATCTTGGCACGCTATGTTGCTCCTAGGAGACACCGACCAGAGCACATGGCTGCAGCGAAGAGGGTGTTGCGCTACTTGTGCAGTACGTCGGGCATGGGGCTAGTGCTTGGAGGGCGACGTTCAGTGTACCTCACAGGTCACGCAGACGCTTCTTGGGCTGCCGACCAGGCTACGCAGCGGACGTCACAGTGTTACACTTTCATCCTTGGTTCCGGCTTTGTTTCGTGGTGGTCTACCCGCTCGTCTTCTGTTCTTGGCTCCAGCTGTTAGGCTGAGATCTACGCGGGGGCCATGGCTGCACAGGAGCTACGCTGGCTCACCTACCTGCTGACTGACCTAGGAGAGCCGCCTCGTTCCCCTCCAGTTCTGTACGTAGACAACAAGGCCATGCTGGCTTTGTGTCGGGAGCACACACTGGAGCACAGAACGAAGCACATTGCTCTTCGCTACTTCCTTGCTCGTGAGCTGCAGCAGCGTGGTCAGCTCCGCCTCACCTACGTGGCCTCTGAGGCCAACACTGCTGATATCTTTACCAAGGCACTTCCGCCTTGTGATCATCAGCGCTTCTGTACGATGCTAGGTCTTGTGCCTACTTGGCCTCACTTGCTCACTTCTTGACCTTGCTTGTACTGTGATCTTTCTATACCTGCACTTGCTTGTTTACCTTTATATATGATCTTGCATGTGAACTGGCCTTGTGGCCTTGACCTTGTGCTTGGAATGTGTGGTGACGTTGTGATCCACCCTGAGCTTGCTTTGCTTTGCTTGACTGGTTTTGTGACCTCTTGTTCTCCCTCACTTTGCCTATGGGGGTGTGTCGAACTCATATGCTATAGTCTCTGTAGGCTGTAGTGGGGTAGACAATATGGGTTACAACACTTTTAGGTTTTCCTACTTGTACCCACCTGTTTGCTAGTGCATTCATTCCTCATTTCTTTACACTGGGTGGGGGGGGGTCATGAGGTGGAAGGCTGCAGTGAAAGCGCCGTGGGACTCAAAAATCATGGTCATAGGTGATCCGGCTCACAGGTGGGACGCACAGGAGGAGCAGTTACTTTTCAGCTGCAATATTTTCTTCAGAGGCAAGTCACTCTTCGGAAACAAGGCGGGCTCTCTTTGTCTGAAAGGCATCCGGCTGGGGGACTTGGTGGTTAAAGGAAGGGATGGCAGCAGGACTCGTAAGAGCAAAGAGTACCTAGAGAGGGAGTTGGATGGAGAGGAATAGAGGAAATGGGCTCTGAAAGCGTGGGATGCGACGCCACAGGGGTGGAAGGATCTGGTACTCAAACAACTGTCGGCAGAGGAAATTTTCAGGGAAACAAGACTAGTCTGCTCTGCCTCATATCGCCCGGGAGAATTCTTTTACTACCAGCTGCAGTACGCAAGCGACGGCAAACTTCACGGTCGGAGGGTGGCGGTGGACAAGAAAGGATGCATATCAGCGATGGAGTACGCCAGTGTGGTAACAATTGAATTTCGGCGCACTTCCCCTATGGCGGTCATAGATGGGAGAGTCCGGAGCGTGCTGGGGGCCCCAAGAACGCGCCTACTCTATTCCACAATCTGTGAGAAAGGCGAGCGAGCAGGATTGAAGCAGTTAAGGAAGGCAATGAAACCCTTAGTGGCGCAGCCAAAGTAGCAGCTGAAGTGGGAAGAGGAGATGGGGAGAAAGTTTGACTTGGGGAAAGCCATCACGGTCCGTGACTCGCTGGCAACCCCATGCAGGGCACGCAAAGTGGTATTGAAGGTGCAGAGTAACAACCTCCAAGTGGGGGAGAGGCTCCCCGTCCTGGGTGCAAGCGCGAAATGCACGCACTGTGGCAGAGTGGAATTGCAAGACCACTACTTTTTCAGCTGCCTGGTGATCCAGCCAATGGTGGTGGCGATGAAAATGGCGGTGCAGTGCATGAACCTGGGCGGGGATATGAGGTCTCTCGGGGACATGCTCTTCCAAAAGAATGGCACGACGTCCGGCTTTCCGCAGGCTGCAATCATTTCCCTCACAGCGCACCAAGTGTGGTTGGAGAGGTGCAATGCGGTGTTCCGAGGCAGCCGGTTCCAACCAAAAAGGGCACTGAGGCGTATTGCACTTGGTTTCACTCGACACGTGAAGATCTACAGCAAAGTGCGGATGAGGATAGCTGGCAGAAGTGGCTCAAAAAAGGCGGGCGACTGGGGCCAATTGAACGCTGACGAGGCAATCGCTATGCGAAGCCTTTATGAGAACGAGGCTTCGATGACGTGGAGAGCAGGCTTTAAGGCGATCTGGGAAGATGGTGGTGTAGCTTTCCAGCCTCCGTAAAAGGACAAGGGGGGTTTCTGTCAAACTTATATGCTATAGTCTGTGTAGGTTGTAGTGGGGTAGACTATATGGGGTACAACATTTCTAGGTTTTCCTACTTGTACCCACCTCTTTCCTAGTTCATCCATTCCTCATTCTTCACATGGTATAGAGCAGGTTCCCTCGTGGGAACGGTTCTCACGGCCCACCACCTAACTCGATCTTTTATTTCCTGCCCGAGGCGCGCCCCGTAGGCCGCCCTCACGTCGCGCCCTCCTAGAGGCCCCTCGCGCCACCTTTAGCCGTCCCGTCGCTGCCCCTCTAGGCCCCTCGCAGCCCTTTCACGGCCTCGTCGCCGCCGCTCTAGGCCCCGTCGCCGCCCCTCTAGGCCCCTCGCGGCCCCTTCGCGGCCCCGTCGCCGCCGCTCTAGGCCGCCTCGCCGCCCCTCTAGGCCCCTCGCGGCCCCTTCGCGGCCCCGTTGCCGCCCCTTCGCGGCCTCGTCGCCGCCCCTCTAGGCCCCTTGCGGCCCCTCTACGGCCCTGTCGCCGCCCCTAGCGGCACCGTCGCCGCCCCTGGAGGCCCCGTGGCCGCCCTTCGCGGCCACCTCGCCGCCCCTAGCGGCCCCGTCGCCGCTCTTCGCGGCACCATCGCCGCCTCTACCGGCCCCTTCACCGCTGAGCCGCCCAGCAGCTGAGCAGCCGAGCCACCACACCGCCATCCGCCCAGCAGCCGAGCCGCCCAGCAGCCGAGCCGCCGAGCCGCCGAGCCCCCCCTCAATCGAGCCGCCAAGCCGCCCAGCAGCCAGGCCGCCCAACAGCCGAGCCGCCGAGCCGCCCAGCAGCCAAGCCGCCGAGCCGCCGAGCAGCCGAGCCGCCCAACAGCCGAGCCGCCGAGCCACCTAGCAGCCGAGCCGCCGAGCCGCCAACCGCCCAGCAGTCGAGCCGCCCAACAGCCGAGCCACCGAGCCGCCCAGCAGCCGAGCCGCCGAGCCGCTGTGCCACACAGCACCCGAGCCACCGAGCCGCCCTGCCGTCGAGCCGCTACTATTCCTACCGGCGCGAGTTAGAGACTAAGGACTGAGTCTATGAAGATTAGGAGCCTAAATTTCTCAAAATCGTTGGCTTGAAATTCTGGACAGAAACCGCGACTTCACAAGAAACGTTGTCGACGAAACGTGCACTGTTAGAATCGTCTCAAACTCGAGTATCTTGTAGCCCTTGTCCGTGGCTATCATTCCCAAATTGAATCGTATCGAAAGGTGGAGTAAATCTCGAGTTATGCTTCTCGGCGCACCAGGGGGTATGCTGCCACATAGAAACTTAATTCACTCACAATAGTTTCACAAGTTCACAAGAGTTCCACACAAGAGAGTTGGAGTTGCACTAAACCAGGTGAGAGAGTAGAGGAGGACGAGAGGGAAGGTCCCAAGGAGTCCCCAACCCAAGGAAACCCCATGCCACACAATTTCCTTCCCCATAGGCAACCCCACTTTCACATTTGTCACTTTCCCAACTCATGCCATCCACCTCAACCCAATTGGCCACACTTGCCAACCTGGTTTGGCTTCACCCAACCACATGGCAGCATTCTACAGTGATGGGTTCGAATTCCCAACCCCCAAAAGCCTGTACCCCATATTGAGTCAACCCCACAACTTCCCATAGTCGCCACAACCGAAGTACAGAAAGCATACGAACTCCAACGTTCGTAACTTTCTTGATATTGCTCCGATCGCGACGATTCTTGGCTCGTCGGTGAGCTCTTGAGTAGAGCTGTCACTTAAGATATCTGCCCAAGCCAAATATCATCCACACACACTCACGAAATCCAAACCGCGCAAAGCACAAATTCTTGCACACGCTCATACCACGCATGCAACACACGAACACTTGATGGAGGCAGACAGACGTGAATGCATATGGTTGCGTCACAACAGCGCGCCCCGGCCCTACTTACTCGGACTGGTGAGATCACTCCCTGCTAGGCCACTGCAGTCATGGCTACCCCCAGTGTCCTTACCTTTGATACTAAGGGTCGTGCTGTTGACTTTGAGGTCTGGGTCGATGACCTCCAGCTGTTCCTACAGAGCGATAGGGCAGACGGACTCTCCCTGTTCGATCTCACCTGTGGTGCCTCTCCTGCCCTGCCTGCTACTGCTTACAGCAGTGTTCGCTCACAGTGGGCCACGCGCGATGCTGCTGCCCGTCTTGCTGTGCGTCGCCACTTACCGACCGCTGATCGTGCGCACTTTAGCCAGTACAAGAGTGCTAAGACCTTGTACGACGCTGTAGTTGCACGCTACACTTCCCCTGCCACTGCTGCGCCTAGCCGCCTCTTGCTACCGTACCTGTTCCCTGACCTTGCTGCCTTTCCCACAGTCGCTGACCTCATTACGCACCTTCGCACTAGCGACACTCGCTACCGCGCTGCGCTTTCTGCTAAAATCTGTGCCAAGAACCCTCCCCCCATGTACATCACCCTCTACTACATAGTCACACGGCTCCCTGACTCCCTTGCTTAGTCAAGGATCACTTCCTCTCAGTTTGCCCCACCACACTCACCGTTGACCTCCTCGAGGAGCGCCTCCTAGCAGCAGAGAGAAGCATTGTCGTTGTAGGAGCCTCTCGTGGTGACCCTCGCACCCCCGTCTTAGAGGGATGTTCCCCCTCCCCCCTCTTGCCCTCTGTTGCTTCTGGTGCTGCGGCCGACGTCGTTGGCTTCGAGTCGGTCGGCGATGCGTCTGCCCCTAGCGAAAGACGCCGCACAGGCAAGGGCAAGGGGGGCAAGGGCATTGGAGGGGCTGGCGGGAGTGGAGGGGGTGGGGGTGGTGGTGGGAGTGGTGGCGGGGGTGGAGGTGTCGGTGGCAGCAGTGGAGGCAGAGGAGTCGGCGGCGGTGGCGGAGGGAGCGGAGGCGGCGGAGGCGGCGGAGGTGGCGGAGGCAGCGGTGGAGCTGGTCGCGGCTTTGCGCAGAGAAGTGGCCGGTGGTGGTCCGCGCCAGCAGCAGCAGCGCAGTCGTGAGACCCTGTCCTCTCAGCAGCTTCGTAAGTGGTACGCTTCGCGTCAGCGGGGTGGGGGTACTGGTCCCTACACTTACGTCCTTCGTACCCGCGACCAAACGGGTGAGCAGTGCGGGGGCCCGCACTCCGCCCAACGCTGCTTCGGCTGCCTGACAGACTCGTGGCGTCACCAGTTCCCTGACGCCACTGAGATCCCTCGCTGGGGAGAGCTGTTTAGGGCGGGGGTTGCTATCTTTGATCTTGATTATGATGCTATTCTTGCTGCCATGTATGTTGTTTCTGCTAGTGATGAGGGTGACTGTTACCTGTCTGTACCGCGTGACCCAGGCATTGAGCTGCTGCTCTAGGTACTGGTGAGACTGCTGCTCTAGGTGCTAGTGCGTCTGCTGCCCCAGGTGCTGGTGAGTCTACTCTCTCTGGTACCACGTCCGCTGAGGCCTTACACACCTTCACCCTTGACTCGGGTGCTTCCCGCTCCTTCTTTCGAGACCGCACCACGCTTACGCCGCTTAGTCGGCCGGTTGCGGTCTCCCTAGCGGACCCCTCTGGGGGTCCTGTCCTTGCTATCTTCTCCACAGTCTTACCGTGCCCAGCAGCCCCCTCTGGCACCCTGTCTGGTCTCTACCTCCCCTCGTTCTCTACAAACTTGGTGAGTGGAGCTGATCTACAGGATAGGGGGGTTGACCAGTTCACTCCTGCGAGTCAGCGGGTGACCCACTGCACGTGTGCTCAGACGGGCCGACACTTGGCCACGTTTACCCGTCGGCCGGGGTCGAGCCTGTACACACTGACTACTGAGTCTCCTCCGGTTGATGAGTCTGGTCAGGTAGCTGCGTCGAGTCAGGTGTTTGCTGCAGCGTCCAGGTCTGGTCAAGAGTCTGCTTCCTGCTCGTGTCGTCTCCTATCCCACCAGACTCTCCTCTGGCACCACCGCCTTGGTCACCCCTCCCTGCCTCGTCTCCGAGGCATAGCCTCCCGTGTCCTTGTCTGTGGTCTCCCCCGGTCCCTCCCTCCCCTACCTCCGTGTGAAAATTAGAACGAGAATGATTGAACTATGAAACAGTTGGGTACATGTACTAACCCTAATTGGGTTGTACCCCTTATGGGCTACCCCACTACAGACTACATAGATGTATAAGCTATAATGTCCTGACACACCACCATAGGCAAAGTGGGGGAGAACAAGTGGTCAGAAGACTAGTGAAGCAAAGCAAAGCAAGCTCAGGGTGGATCACAAAGTCACCACACTGTCCAAGCACAAGAGCAAGGCCACAAGGCCAGTTCACATGCAAGATCATATATATTAAGGTATACAAGCAAGTGCAGGTATAGAAAGAGTAATGTACAAACAAGATCAAGAAGTGAGCAAGTGAGGCCAGGTAGGCACAAGACCTAGCAAAGTACAGAAGCGCTGATGATCACAAGGCGGAAGGGCCTTGGTGAAGATATCAGCAGTGTTGGCCTCAGAGGCCACGTAGGTGAGGCGGAGCTGACCACGCTGCTGCAGCTCACGAGCCAGGAAGTAGCGGAGAGCAATATGCTTCGTTCTGTGCTCTAGTCTGTGCTCCCGACACAAGGCCAGCATGGCCTTGTTGTCTACGTACAGAGCTGAGGAGAACGAGGCGGCTCTCCTAGGTCAGTCAGCAGGTAGGTGAGCCAGCGTAGCTCCTGTGCAGCCATGGCCCCTGCGTGGATCTCAGCTTCACAGCTGGAGCTGAGAACAGAGGATAAGCGGGTAGACCGCCACGAAACAGAGCCGGAGCCAAGGCTGAAGGTGTAACCCTCTGACAACCGCTGTAGAGCCTGGTCGTCAGCCCAAGAAGCGTCAGCGTGACCTGTGAGGACCACTCGACGTCGCCTTCTAAGCACTAGCCCCATGCCCGACGTACTGCACACGTAGCGCAACACCCTCTTCGCTGCAGCCATGTCCTCTGGTCGGTGTCTCCCAGGAGCAACATAGCGTGCCAAGATGCTAAGAGGGTATGCAAGGTCAGGTTGTGTGCAGGTCATCAGGTACATGAAGCAGCCAACAAGCTCTGGGTACGGGCCACTCGGCTCTTCGGACTCATCCGAAGGCAGAGCTGAGAGCGAGTGGCGAGTAGACAGAGGAGTGGCCTGAGGCGAGGAGTACGTGAAGCGGAAGCGCTGAAGGACCTGCTGCATCATGTGTGACTAAGTCAGGGTAATGGTGCGCTGTGCTCTGTCCCGGGTGATCTGCAAGCCAAGGTAGCTGCGCAGTTCACCCAGGTCCGTGCACGTGTGTCTCTTCTGCAGCTTGGACTTCACGTGGGCGAGTCCAGCAGTGTCAGCAGTGGCAAAGACCAAGTCGTCAACGTACACGAGGATGTAGAACGGTGGCAAAGAGGTGTCAGTGCGCACAAACAGCGACGGGTCGGCTGTAGAAGGAGCAAACCCAAGAGCCGCAAGTGTAGTCCTCAGTGTGTCGTGCCACTCACGAGGTGCCTGGCGGAGACCGTAGACTGGCCGCCGGAGGCTCCACTAGGTACCAAGGGGAAACGATCCAGTGAAGCGAGGTGGGCGGCGCAGCCAGATCTCCTCGTGCCGGCTGCCCTGCAGGAAAGCTGTGCTGAAGTCAAGAGAGTGAAGCTCGTAGTCGCGTTGAGCAGCTATGTGCAGCAGCACCCGAAGAGTGGTCATCTTCGGGGTGGGAGAGAAGGTCTCGAAGTAGTCAACTCCCTGCCACTTAATGAAGCCTCAAGCCACGTAACGCGCCTTGAAGACAGGCGGAGAACCCGGAGGCCGCTTCACCTTGAAAATCCACATGCCACTGACGATGTTCGCCCCAGGTGGGGGAACCTCCTCGACGTAGGTGCCTCTGGACTTCCAGGAAGCCATCTCTGTGTCCATGGCTGACTGCCACTGAGAGGAGTAGGGACCCTCGATCGCCTCAGCGTACGATCGAGGAGTCGGGATGTCTGGTGCATCCGGGTCTCCCTCAGGGGCAATCAGCGTGGACACGAGATGGGGCAAAGCAGCAGCAAAGCACTAGAACTCCTCCTGCCTATCCTCAAGGACGTCCATGCTAAGAGCACACTCACCCCCGACGGACGGAGGACAGACAGACCAGACTCAGCAACGAGACTGGCAGCGTAGTCTAGACGACAGCGAGCAGCGAAGTCGACAAGCTCAGCAACTAGGGTAGACGCTGCAGTGGACTCAAAGGAAGGGTCAGTGACAACAGTAGCAAGGAGACGCGTGACCGAAGGACTGTGGCACCCTGTCAGGTCTCTACCTCCCCTTGTTCTCTACGAACCTTGTGAGTGGAGCGGACCTACAGGATAGGGGGGTTGACCAGTTCACTCCTGCGAGTCAGCGAGTGACCCACTGTACGTGTGCTCGGATAGGCCGACACTTGGCCACGTTCACTCGTCGGCCAGGGTCGAGCCTGTACACCCTTACTACTGAGTCTCCTCCAGCTGCTGAGTCTGGCCAGGTAGCTGCGTCGAGTCAGGTGTTTGCTGCAGCGTCCAGGTCTTGTCCTGAGTCTGCTCCCTGCTCGTGTCGTCTCCTGTCCCACCAGACTCTCCTCTGGCACCACCGCCTTGGTCACCCCTCCCTGCCTCATCTCTGAGGCATGGCCTCCCGTGTCCTTGTCTCTAGTCTCCCTTGGTCTCTCCCTCCCCTACCTCCGGGGCCTGCCCCTACCTGCGTCCCCTGCGTCGAGGGGCGGCAGCGCGCTGCCCCTCACTCCTCCGAGTTTCCTCTGACAGAGGCTCCGCTGGAGACACTTCACATGGACATGTGGGGCCCCGCCCGCGTCCGTGGCCAGGGTCACGAGCGTTACTTCCTGTTGGTGGTGGACGACTACTCGTGTTACACCACGGTGTTCCCCTTGCGCAGCAAGGGTGACGTCACTGAGGTGTTGATCGATTGGATCCGCGCAGCTCGTCTCCAGCTCAGAGAGAGTTTTGGCTCGGACTTTCCTGTTCAGCGTCTGCACTCTGACAGAGGCGGGGAGCCTTCTGTCGTGCACAGGGCATCCGCTAGACCTTCACGCTTCCGGCCTCTCCACAGAAAAATGGGATTGCTAAGTGCTGCATTGGCATGGTCATGGACGTCGCTGGTACGTCCATGATCCATGCGGCTGCCCCCCATTTTCTGTGGCCGTTTGCGGTTCAGTACGCAGCGCATCAGCTGAACTTTCAGCCCCGGGTCTCCTTGCCAGAGACCTCCCCCACCTTGCAGTGGACGGGGAAGGTTGGCGATGCGTCTGCGTTTCGGGTCTGGGGATCTCGGGCGTTTGTCCGCGACTTGTCTGCGGACAATCTGTCCCCCCGTGCTGTTCCCTACGTCTTCCTTGGCTTCCCCCCTGACGCGCCAGGGTGGCAATTTTACCACCCCACCTCGCGCCGTGTTCTGTCCTCCCAGGACGTCACGTTTGACGAGTCGGTGCCTTACTACCGTCTCTTCCCCTACCGCACTGCGCCCCTTTCCCCGCCGCCGCTCTTCCTTGCGCCAGGTCCTCCCCCGGTAGACCCCCTCCCCCCTCAGGGTCCTGCCCCGTCAGGTGTGTCCCAGGTAGACGCAGTCGAGCCTGTCGAGGTAGCTGTTGACTCTGGAGCTGCTAGAGGTGCTGAGCCTGTGGGTGCCGGGCATGGAGGTGCTAAGCCTGGGGGTGTGGAGCCTGGTGGTGCTGAGTCTGGGGGTACTGAGCCTTGGGGTGCTGAGTCTGGGGGTGCTGAGCCTGGGGGTGCTGAGTGTGGGGGTGCTCAGCCTGGGGGTGCTGAGCCTGGGGGTGCGGATCCTGGGGGTGCTGGGTCTACTCGTGTGGCCTCTTGCGGTGCTTCGTCAAGGCGGGAGCTACTCTCTCCGCAGGAGCTGCGCGAGTGGTTTGCCCGGCGCTGGAGCCGTGGTGCTGGAGCTGACGGTGCTACTATTGCTGCTGGTCCTGGAGGTGCTCCTACTGGTGGTACAGGAGCTGCTGGGACTGGGGGTGCTGCTGGAGCTGCTGGAGTTGGTTCTGCTGGAGGTCCTGCGGGAGCTGCTGGCGGTACTGGAGCTGACGGTGCTGCTGGAGCTGGAGCTGCTATGGGTGTTGGCACTGGAGGTGCTGCTGGCACTGGAGCTGCTGGAGGTGTTGGTGTGGAGGTGCTGCTGGCGCTGGTGCGTCTAAGGGTGCTCGAGTTGGTGCTGTTGGAGCTAGAGGTGCTGCTGGCACTGGTGCTGCCACTGGGGGTACTGGTGCTGTCCCTGCAGTTTCTAGAGGCGCTGCGCGGCCGCGGCCGTACATCGTTCCGCTCCTTCAGCAGGTTCTTGGTCTCCCGCCTTATACTGGTCCTGCTCCTCCTTTAGAGAGTCCACAGCCTGTCCAGTCGCGGTCACAGTTACAGCCCGCCTCCCCCCTACCTGCTCCTTCTCCCTACTCTGGTCCTACCGGAGGTCTTGCTGAGCGTCGTGAGCCTGCGTCTCGTCCTGCCTCGCCTCTTCGTGCTGCTCGTACTAGTGGTTGTGCTCCGCGTCCGCGTCCTCCTGCAGTCCCAGGCACACACCAGATGGCACTGCGTCCTTCCTCTGCCTCTCTGCGTGTCCCGTTCCCGTCTCCTCCAGAGTCCTCTCTTCCTGTTCTTGCGGACCCAGAGTCTGACTCTCTTCGTGCTGCCAGTCCTACTGTTGTCTCCTTGCTACTGTTGTCACTGACCCCTCCTTTGAGTCCAGTGCTACGTCGGACCTCGTTGCTGAGCTTGTTGACTTTGCTGCTCGTTGTCGTCTGGACTACACTACTAGTCTTGTTGCTGAGTCTGAGTCTGTCTGTTCTCCGTCCGTCGGGGGTGAGTGTGCTTGTAGCACGGACGTGCTTGAGGACAGGCAGGAGGAGTTCCAGTGTTTTGCTGCTGCTTTGCCTTATCTCGTGTCCACGCTGATTGCCCCTGAGGGAGACCCGGATGCACCAGACATCCCGACTCCTCGATCGTACGCTGAGGCGATCGAGGGTCCCTACTCCTCTCAATGGCAGGCAGCCATGGACGCAGAGATGGCTTCCTAGAAGTCCACAGGCACCTACGTCGACGAGGTTCC